TTTATTGTGCATTTATTGAGGTTCAGGGAATGGGGCAGACAGCAAGGATAGAACTTTGAGCAAATACTCTGCTTGCCATCATGGACATACTGTGGTAAGAAGCCCTGATTTCAATGATGCTCTGACTGCTTTCATCTCATTTCATGTTATGTTTGATAATTATTTGCCTCTATAGAAATTCAGAGTTTCAGTGTGGACCACTGTTTTGATGTTCACCAATTAATTAATATACTCTTTAGTTCTAAAAAAACGTAAAGTGGCCTACCAACAGTGCACAGAGACAGTAAGACGAGACAGTCTCAAACAATAAAAACAAATAGCATTGAATAAAAGAGAGCAGAGGATAAAACATCTTGTTCTGAAGACCATTAGAGAAAGCAGACCTGCTACTCAGCTTACTGTCTGGACACGAGAAAGAGAGAATCAGGAACCAGTTAAAGAAAAGATGTCAGTTTCACAAGAGAAACCCTCTTTTTCTGGCTCTAAGTTTTATGAGGAATTCAACTTTAGATGCTCATATAAGGAGTGCCGAGCATGCTATAAAACAAATACAATATGAGAAATAGGCATAGTTGGACTGCTTCTCTATATGTGCCAGCTGTTGGTACTGATGGTAAGATATCCACTAGATTATTAAGGGCTTGGAATGGTGTGTGTGTGTGTGTGTGTGTGTGTGTGTGTGGTGTGCACCAAGAACAGTTTCCCAAAATGTTATTTCACTGTATGGTAAAAAAAAAAAAATCTGAAAAAAGTCATATTTTGGTGACAGTGACACCTCATGGATAATTTCAAGCTAACTTTTTTTTTTTAAGATTTATTTATTTATTTCTACAAGCACTGGGTACAGTCAGAAGCGTGGGAGGGTGAGAGAATTCACCAGAGCCAGAGCAGGGAACAGAACAGGCAGACTGATGAAATGCACTGCTGAGGGGAGCAGCGGGCATGGCAGAAGAGGTCTGTCACGCCATGTGGGACCCTTGCCGGTGGCTGGGGATCGAACTGGCACTGCAGAGGCTGTGGGCAGCTTCGCAGCCCAGTGCTCAACCACTGCGCCACCAGTGGAGGCCCACAAGCTAACTTTTTGCTTTCTCCAGTTGTTTGTAACAAGGACAGAAACCTGGGAGAAAGATGTGTTCCCAGTGTCTTTTGTGCTCTCCATTGGGACTGGGAAGGGCTAAATCTAGCTCTCATCCTGCCTTTCCCTGTGAAGGTAAGCATGGTGCCGGCAAGAGCAATGGAGCCCAGCTTAACCCTATCACTCTCTTTTTAACTCAAACTGCTATTGCAAAGTTCCCATCTCACAGGAGAGAGACAAAACAATTTGTCACACATACACCATTCCAAGCCCTTAATAATCTAGTGGATATCTTACCATCAGTACCAACAGCTGGCACATACAGAGAAGCAGTCCAACTATGCCTATTTCTCATATTGTATTTGTTTTATAGCATGTTCGGCACTCCTTATATGAGCATCTAAAGTTGAATTCCTCATAAAACTTAGAGCCAGAAAAAGAGGGTTTCTCTTGTGAAACTGACATCTTTTCTTAATAATGGGCATTGTCAGGGCCTATGGAGTAGGGGGGGGTAGGTTTCATGAGAAAACTGGGATTTAAACCAGATGATGATGGAAATTTTGGCGGAGGGAAAATTACAGGCTTAAGGAATATGGTAAGAAAGTCCATGGAGGTGGCAGTGCATGCATTCTTGGACAGTTCTCTAAGAAGTTTGGACTTTATGGAGAATAGTTGGCCACTGAAGAATTTTGGGGAGGGCAACCCATGACATAAGCTTCCTCATGTTTTAAGTGGCTGCTTCTGCGAACAGTGTGGAGCTGTACTGTCTGAAACAATAGCTACCAGTCACATGTAGTTAATCTGATTTAAGATACGCTGTGTGTAAAATACACACTGGATTTTGAACAGTATAAACATGTAAAAATAATTTTATGTTGATTACAAGATTTTTGGTTATTTTCTATTTACTAAAGTATACAACTAAAATTAAATTTCATTTGTCTCATTTCACCTTTAAAAAATGACACTGATAAAAAATTTGAGTTTACCTCTGTGGCTTACAAGATATTTCCATTGGACAGCGTGGTGTAGCCGCTGGCTTAGGGGAGGAAAGAAGCAGATATCAGGAGCAGATGAGTTATAGCAAAATGCTAGACAAGAGATGATGAGGGTCATACCTGAGGCAGTGACCAGGGAATACAGAAGGCAGGGCAGGGAACAAACCTCTCTAAGAGGAGTTGACAATGATTTTTTCTGCATGTTGGGGTTAGACAGAAGGAGGGGGCAAGGTGGTCAATCTGAGTTGCTGGAGGGTGGTTTTAGGACCTGATACAGATGGGTGTTGATGTGAATATGCATGTAGATGGAGCACCAGAGAATTCAGGTGTGATGCTGCAGAGAGTGGGGCTGTGGCTACAGGACCCAACAGCAAGATGATAACAGAAGCCCAGAAATGGGAGATCATTGAGCTAACTCATGGAGCAGGAGGTGAGCGAGAAGCCAAGCACGGAGAACTGAAGGAGCAATGGAGGTTGGGGCTCAGTCTTCAGGATGTGGATGGGAGAAGTGACTAAGAACCCAGGAAACGCTGGTACCAGGGGTAGGCTCCTGGAGATCTTTCCAGATGGAACACGTTTGCAAATGGAGGAAGCAGAGGCTGTGGGGCAGGCTGTCTCAGGAAGCCACTGGGTGGTATTTTTTGGGGGTAGAGCTTTGATGAGTCACCTAAAGGCAAATGGCAGATAGTGCAAAGTCCAGCAGAGAGTGGCTGGTGAGGAGGGGGAAACTGCAGCAGAAGGGATCATGCTCTGAAGCACATTGGTTTGGGCACTACAGGTTTGTGGCCCTGGGAAGGAAAGGGCAGCACAGGGATTGAGGGCAAGGATTGTTAGGCAGGGGTGAAGGAAGGAGAGACTGAAGACAGAACAGGCACTAATTGATGAAGCAAGATCAAGAACTGGTGCAGGAGACACATGAACATGTCACACCCCTGAGTCTTATCGCTTTTCCCAAGTCCTCTCTAACCGCATCTCTGCAGTCCACCTCCACAATCAGACTTTTGCACGCGCTCCTCCCGGTAGGTCCTCACCGCTATGGAAAAGAGGGCGAAGAGTCTTGCTCTTACAGGTTACAGCTCCGTATTGGGGCGTGGGGGGTGTGGGGAGCTTCTGGGAAAGGGCTTAGACGCTCAGCTCATTTCCCTTGTGGGCTCACTGCCTGGGGCTAGGGAGGTCCAAGCCGTGGGAGCCACGGCCCGGGAGGCTGCCCGCCTGCCAGACCCCGCGCGGCGCGCACCTACCCGGGCTCCGAGGCCGAGCAGGAGGGGCCCGCGCGCTTCTGAAACCTGTTTCTGGTCGGGCTGCAGCGCGCGGCCTCCCCAGCGAGGGGCGCTGGGAACCCGCGGATGGGCGGCTCGGGTCTTGCGCCCCGCCTCGGCCTCTGCGCTGGAACTTTTCTCGGAGCAGCTGCTGAGCGCTGGGCGCGGGCTCCGGGAAAGCTGACTCTGGTGCCCGCCCCAGGCCCGCCGGACGCCGGCACGGCTCAGCGCCCGCCCCGCTCCCCGTCCCCCCGCCCGCTCCCGGTCCCCCCGCCCGCTCCCGGTCCTCCCGCCCCGCTCCCGGTCCTGCTCCCAATTCTGGGCGGAAAAGCAAGTTCACGGGGTGGCGGGGCGCAGGGGTGCAGGGGAGGAAGCTCCTGGATCTGCTGGTGGTTGCCCTTCGGCCTGGATTCCCGGCGCGTCCATCCCCCTGTACCCCGGGGCGGCCTTTCTCCATCATCTCACGTTCCCTCTCCCCCTGCGTCTTTCCTCCTCTTCTCCCGCTCTCCTTTCTCCATCTTCTCTCCGTTTCTTTCTTTTACCCTCGCCCCGCGTTTCCCTTCCTCTCGCGGTGCTTTAACACCCCCCCCCAAAAGAACCCACCTCTAATTCCGGGGGGGAAGGGGGGCGCGTTCTCCAGGCCCCTTGCTCCATCCTCCTCCCTCGCTAGGAACCTCCCCCCGCTCCGCCCAACTCGGCCTTTGCGCCTCCTGGAAGCTTCTCGGGGGCGGCAGGTCCCATCACTTGCTCCAAGGCCTCTAAACCGCATCTCGAGGTATCCCTCGGGCTGGCTGCCCTCTCTCCAGCCGCCCCGAAGTCTCCTCCCGCAGGGCACGAGGAGGGCCGGCGCAGGTTGGGTCCCAGAAGCGCCCAGGCTGCGCTTCTGCAGGGGGGACAGGGGGGCTGATAGGCTCACGCCGCGCGCGCCCGGGGACCTTCTTACTGGCTGTCAGCACTTGGCGAGAGCACAGCCCGCCCAGACACCCGTCCGGGAGAGCGAGGGTGAGCCCCGCAGCCCCAGGCGGGAGGACGGGAGCTGGAACCACCCGCTGGGGACAGATGGTCCAGGCTACTCCCTCGCCCCAGCTCCGGCCCGGGGTCCCCGAATCAAGAGGAGCTGGCGAGCCCCGGACCCCTGCCCCCCGCCAGCCCCCCGCCTGCGTCTCCCAAATCTCTCTCCTCGCCCCTCGCCCTCCAGCAAGTTACATCCAGGGGTTCCAGGAAGAGGGGGGCCGTCCAGAAGGGCCAGCCTGCTCTCAGGGTTACCTCTCCGTGACTCGCGGAGGCAAGTCGGGCTCCTGGAAATGCAAACACAGCCCGTGCGTGATCCGCGCGCCCACGGCACGAGCGCACCCCTCCCCGCCCCCCACGCCGCCGCCAACAGCAACGCGCGCACAGCGCGGGCAGCCGCGCACGCACCGAGCCGCGCGCCCCCCGCGCCCAGCCCCTCGCGCCCGCGCCCCGCTCAGGCGCCCCACGCCGCGGCTCCCGCCGGCCGGCCCCGGGCGCACCCCGCCTCGCCCTCCCCGCCCGCCGGCGCGCACGTACGCGCACGCACGTACCTCCCGCGCCCCCGCACCGAGCGGGGGCGCGGGCCGCAAGGGGCGGGGGGCGCGGGCGGGGGAGCCCGGAGCCGAGTCCCGGGTCCGTCCCGCTCTCGGCGTCTGCGCGCCGCCTCCTCGCGCCGAGGCTCCGGACTCCCACTTGGCTCCTGAACCCGAACAGTTGGCGCTGAAATCACTTTACTCCTCCTCCTTCCCGAGACCCCCCCAACTCCCCGCGCGCCATCTCCCGTCCCCACCACACACCCGAGGAGTAACCCCCTAAACGCGGCGAGAAGCGGCTCCCAACTCTTCGCCGGGAGCAGGTTGGAGGCAGGATTGCGAGAGACTCGGGATTGGGGTCTGTCCCAACCCCTGCTCCCGAATCCGGCTGGATTTTCCTGTTTTACTAGAGGATTTTCTTATTACCTTCGAATACTCCGTTTCACAAAATTTCTGGAGGAGCTCGGTGAAGATTTTGGGGATCCTATTCTAAAGGGGGGACGCGTCGAGGAGCATTTATCGATTTTTCGGTGCTTCGACTCCCCCTTTGGACGAGAGCGCCGCGAGAGGAGGGCAGCGTGGAGCGGACCGGCGGGGCGCGCCCGCCGAGCACCTCCTTCCCGGGCGCCCCCTCCCCGCTCCCCCGACACACACTCGCGGCGGCTCGCGGCGCGCGCACACCCCCCGCGCCGGACCCGCATCTCGGCGGGCGCCTGGCACTCGGCAGCCCGAGCCGCGGCAGCCGCAGCGGGATGGAGGCGGCGCGCACGGAGCGCCCCGCGGGCTGGCCCGGAGCGCCCCTCGCCCGGACGGGGCTCCTGCTCCTGTCGACGTGGGTCCTGGCGGGCGCCGAGATCACTTGGGGCGGTCCCGGACGCCCCGCGGCCCCGGCTTCGCGGCCGCCGGCGCTGCTGCCTCTCGCGCCGCGGGCAGTGGCGAGCCCGTGGCCGGAGGAGCGGGTGGCGGCGCCCCGGCGGAGAGGCGCCGCTCCGGGGCGCCGGCCGGGACCGGAGCCGCTGCCCCAGCCGGGCGGCCGCAGCGGCGGCGGCGTGAAGAAGCAAGAGGCCGGGGCACCGACGCCCGTGGGCGCGCGCGGGGGCCAGGGCAGCCCGGCTCCTGGCAAGCCCGGCGGCGTGAGGAGGAGCCGCCGGGCGCAGCCCCCCGCTGCCCTGGGGCGCGCGGACGTTCGGGCCACCGCCTTGGCTGACGGCTCCAAAGGCGGCCGCCCTCTGGCCAAGGGGCTCCGGGAGGAGGTGAAGGCGCCGCGGCCCGGGGGCGCGGCGGCAGAGGAGCTCCGGCTGCCCAGCACCTCCTTCGCGCTGACCGGGGACTCGGCCCACAACCAAGCCATGGTGCACTGGTCGGGACACAACAGCAGCGTGAGTACCCGCCGCCCGCGCGCCTGCGGGCTCCCCGAAGCGAGGGCGAATGGGGAGCGGGGAGGAGGGGGTAGTTGCTCCGGGGTCCAGGCGGGGGGAGAGGGCGCCTCGACTTTTAGCGAGAGCAGGTTCAGCCGGCTCCCCCCACGCCCCCAACAGGTTAGCGGAGTTTGTTGTGAAATGGGGCGCGCACCGGTCTGCTGGAGGCCGGGGGAGTGGGGCCGCGGCAGGGACAGGAGCGGAGAGATGCGCGGTGCGCGGGCAGCGATCGTGGGCACGTCCCCGCAGGGCGGCTTGGAGAGGCAGTTTTCCTGTTGTGGGGACGTGGGGACATTGGGGGGCGGTGGGCGTTTGAATTCTCGGGTGAGGACACTGACTGCGGTGGGAAGGAACCGCTGGACAGACTGACGGATTCCTGCCACTCTTCGGGCCCCCCACTTCCCACTCCCACTCCCTCGAAGGGGAGCCCGGGAGAGGGAGGCCACCCCGCGCGGACCCCCACACTTCTGCCCGCCTAAGGATCGCCACTCTGCCCCCGACGCGCTCGGTCCCAGCGCAGGCGGGAGGCTGGTGGAGCCTGGGTCTACAGGTGATGCTGCCTCCCCCTTACAAGCCCGGGCAGCTGCTCTGGAAGCTGCAGGAGAGGCAGTAAAAAAGTTTAAAGCGCGAAGAGAAATGTCGCACCCATTCCACCCGTTTCGCCCCCATGCACGCCCAAGCACGCGCAGGGCGCCGAGTAAAACACCCGCCGCGGCCCCTGCGCTCTGCACCACGAGCTGCTCTCGGAGCGGAGTTGGGGCTGAGCCTGTGCGCACCTCTCCGCCCGGCTCCCGCCGCCGGCTCCCCGGCTCCCCGGGCACCGCTGCACCGAGAGGTGGCGCCCTCGAGCCCGCTCCGGCGACTTGGGCCCTCGGTACCGGGGCGCGGGGCTCCCGGTGTGGGCGGCCCGGGCAGCTGCAGCCGCCCGCGGAGCCTTCCCCGGAGGGGCTTCCCCTGCCGGGCGCCCGCGCAGCTCGGCGCGTCCGAGCCAGGGGCCGGCGGAGGAGGGGCTCCCGGGGCGGGGGGGGGGGGGCGCTGGGGCGTCCGTGCAGGAGCTACCCCAGGGCTTCCCTTATTCGGCGTCTGCGGCGGGCCGGGCTCCCCTTCAGCCAGCCTCGCAGAATTCCTTTCCTCTGGCTCTCGGGATCACAGCGGAGTCCATGGTGGAGCAGGCGTCTGGAGGATGATGGATGTCTGCACGGGCAGCTTAGGGAACTCATTCGATGGGGATGCCTGGCCCCTACCCTTGGTGTTTCTCTTCATGACTGGCGTTAAAGATTCCCCCGGGAAATTCTTGCCTTGTTTTAGCCGGCCCGGGGGTGTCACAGGGTGAGGAGTAACAGGAAAGCTGCGAGTCCGCAGAGCTGGCACCCCGGCAGTACCCAGACCCTTGGTGCCCGGCCTGGGCATCGTGCGCTGGTCGGAAGGACGTGTGTGGTCCAGCCCCCCAGCAGCAGGGAGGGGGGTGCTTGCCTACCTCTGCCTCCAACGAAGACCCCCCAGTCCTCTCACAGCTTCAGAGTGGACAGCTCTGGGCGCGGGGGATGGGCATCGTGTGTCTTTGCAGGTGTGGGTGATTGAAGATTTGCGAGTCCCAGAAGGACTTGGGGTGTGTGTTAGGACATGTGGAAGGAAGCGTCTCCATGGCAGGAGGAGGTGAGGTCCTCACATGTCCATGACCTTATGTCGGCCACACCTGGACAATATAAATTCACGCTGCTTAGAGTTTTCTTATTTAAGGATCATTTCCATGTGTCAACAAAGCCCCTGAAGATGAAAGTTTAGAGAGAATGCTTTCTGCGGTTAGTCATTTACAGGAGCATGCCCTTCCTGCCCGTCTGCACCTCAGCTGTGCAGCGGAGGGGCTCAGGGCCCAGGTAGCCCTATGTCCCCTCTGGGAAATGACTCTTCAGTAAAAAGCAGATTGAAGCCACCTGGGGGTGGACATGCTGGTTTTGAGTCCTTAGTGAGAGTGATGAGGTTCTGGCCATCTGGGAAGGAACAGCCCTGGGAGCCTTACTGCTCATGCTCTGGGCTGGACTTACTGTCTAGGCAAAGGACAGCAGGCCCCACTGTATCCTTTCCCCTGTCCAGAGAGGGACTGCCTCTTTGGCTCCTGGGCTGGAGCTGCTGCTTCTAACATGCTTTTTGGGCAATATCAGTAAGGAAGGCTGTGCTGAGTGTCAGCTCTGTGCTCTGTGCGAGATGGGGAACCCTGTTCACATGGCCCTGTCTTTGAGCTACTGCAAGGAAACAGCACCTTAAGGAAACAGTTTCTGCAAGGTTTCCCCATTGGGTTCTTTGTCCCCTGTGCCTTCCCAGGAGCAGCTAAAGAAGGTGCTGTAAATAAAAGTCAGGGTGAGGAGTGGTGGAGATGACGGACCTGCTGGAAGGTCCTTTCCCTGGTTTCAAAGTGGCGGGAGATGTCTTGAAGGCCGGATTGCGGGGCTAGCTCCAGGCTCTTTTGACATGAAAGGAGAATTCCAGCTTCTTTTCTGACTTCCAAAGCGCTAACCACTTGGCCTTCAGAACGGCCACTGGCTTAATCACTAGCACATTTAAGGGTTCTTTCTCTGCTTCTAAGTGCCTATGGTGGGCAAAATTCCTTGGCATGAGTACCCTTTAGGGGAGAGTTTTCAGGGCCCAGCGTTTCGGGGATGGGGGACAGAAGATCCTTGCCCAAGTCTTGGGTCATGGATTCACTTTGGTGCCGGGACTGTGTTGGGATGACCTGGGGGGCCAAGGAGAAGGTAGCCAGCAGGCTTGGGCCAGAAGTCATCAGGAAGAGGATAAAGTCTGAGTCCCCTTCTGCCCACTGTTGCCACACCCGGCAGGTGTGGTCAAGCGTGGAAGGGATGCGAGATGAGTCGACTTGGCCTTTCGACCATTTTTCTGGAGGAATGATTGGCCACTGTTTTTCTGTAAATGTCTCCAGCTGGGATCCCTGTGATTAATGGGTTCGAGAGTGTTTCACAAACACCCAGAGGGATCCTAGTCCCCATGGCTTACAGGGAGACAGAAAAATACATCCTTCTGCCCTCCCCTTCAAGGGAAGCAAGATGCCTCCCTGCCTGTTCACTGAGTTGGCAAATGGCCCTGGTGAGCAGAAAGTGGTGAAGGCAGCAGCCCATGTCTCCTGGCCCCTCTCCCTGGGGGTGACCCTTCATGGGGACCCCCCTATCCTGGGACAGGGGTGAGAGGGTGAGAGTGTTGCACCCTTCCTTAGATGGGTTCCTGGTCCTTTCTGGCAGTGCTCAGCCAGGGCAGGGATTTGCTGACTGCTGCCCCTGCAGTGTATCTGGTTGGAAGGCCCTGCCAGATAGTTTTCAATAATGTTTCCCCACGGCACTTTGGTGAAGAGAAGCCTTTAATTCCAGGTGCCTACCAGATCCCCCTCCCCTGAGGACCCCAGGAGGTAGAACACACAGATCCTCCCAGGCAGGGTTTCATACCCTTAACTAATTCAGCTGGTCTGTGTTCTAAAATATTTACTCCTAATGTGCAAAATAGTGACAGATTTGATCAGATTAATTGTATTTCACTCACTGGAGCATCTAATTGTGGCTCCCAAACAGATTTTTCAAATAGCTTTTGGCTGGATTGTCTAGCCTGCATCGTCCCTGCTCACAGTCTCCATGTCACAATATCCTAATGCATTTTGCCTTCTCAGAGGCTTAATAAAGAAGCCTGCCACAGAAGCCATTCTTCAGGGGTTTGCCAAAAAGAATCTGTTTTTAATTAATATTACAAGGGGAGTCATCTCAGTTGAGATGTCGCTGGGAAATGCAGAGGGACAGAGCAGCACTAATTGCTCCTGGTCACCTTGGAGGGGGGTGAGGACAGGAGGGGGCTGGACAAGGGCTGCTTGTCCATCCCTCTGACGGACAGGTTACAGGGCACAATTTGTTCCTTAGCTCCTGCAGTGATTTCTAAGGTAAACGAAAGTTGCAAGCGCCTTAATTTGGAGGCCTGATTTAATGATTGCAGAAATGCAGTGGCTGGAACTTGCTTTGTAGTTGGCCAAGAAGGAATGCTGGGAATTGACTTCTCCAATTGCTTTGGGTTTAAGGGTGGGGGGGGGGGCGGTTGGTGGCTCTTGTGGCAAGAAGGCTTAGGGAGCAGAAGGGAGAACTGTCTTTCCTTGGGCAGTGTAGATCTGCGATTGTAAGGAGGAATTTTGCAGCTGGGGGATCTGTGGGCCCTGACTCACCCCATATGGCGCAGAGAGGTGCGACAAAGCCTGACAGGCTGAGACAGGAAGAAGTGTTTGAAGGCCAGGGGTTTATCCAAGGCTGGGGGCATCTGAGGCCTCCTGCCTTGACTCACCTGTTGATTTCTGGCTTCCTTTGGCCTTCTGGCTGACTTGAGACACTCCCCTCAGAGAAAGAAAATGTCAAAGGATGATTTTCACAAGTTTGGGAGAAATGAGGGCTGTGGACAAGGAGATGGAAGATACAGAACGTGAGTGCGGGGGAGCTGCTTTGGGCAGACAGGGGTGGCGTGAGCCAGGTGGGTGCTCTGGGATGAATGGAATCCGTAACCATTCTTTTCGCTGGTGTGTGTCTGAGAGAAGGTTCTGGATGTTGCTCTGACTCTGGTGGCGGTGAGAGGAGAGGGGCAAGGAGGTGCGAGAGCCTCGCCTCTCCCAGAGTAGGTGCTCGGTCACGTCCACTGGGCAGGCAGAGGCTACGAAGGAGTCCTTGTCCCATGGGATAGCCGTGATTCCTTTCTCAGGGGGTTCATGTCTTGACATGTCACCGGGACTGTTTCATCCAGTTCATCTACATTTTAGCTTGGGTTCCATTAACCTCTGGGATTCGGATACAATGCCTCGAGCCCGGCGTTCACCGCCATTCACTGGCTTGGTCCTGGCCTGCTCCAGCTTGGTGGTTGTTCCCTGATGGACATGACTCTCCCCAGGGCAGCTGCTTCCTTTCCCCGAGGTCTGTGTTGTTGACCCC